TATCGAACTGCAACTAAAACTTCAGTATCTCTATAAACATACACGAACGGGCCCAATTACCCTACTGCAGATTAGTGGTTCCTTTTGAAAACTAAAAAATTACTGCGCTCTTAGCATAGGGTATAGTAATTGTCCTCTTAGCGTTTATTATAGAGAAATGAAAACACATGAAAGTCTATACACGAATGCTCATAGCAACATTATTCATAATATTCAAAACCCATAGACTAGCCAAATGTCCTACAATGGTTGTTAATGTTTATTAAGTGTTAAACACACTATGGTACATCATACCATTGATTAATAGCAATAAAGAAGAACAAATGGGGCAGCACCTGTGGCTCAAAGGAGTAAGACACCAGCCCCATATACCAGAGGTGGCGGGTTCAAACCCAGCCCTGGCCAAAAAAACTGCAAAAAAAAAAAAAAAAGAACAAATGATAGGCACTAATACTGGGTTGAAATTCAAAGAAATTATGCTTACTATACAAAGCAAATCTCAAAATTTATGTACTTCAAAATATAACATTCTGAAATGACAGAATTACTTGATAATAGAGATGAAGAGATTAGGGGTTTCCAGGGCATAACTATGGGGGTAGAAAATGATGGACGTGACCACAATAGGTGATAGTGTGAGGGAGTCTTGTGATGATGGTACGGTGAATGATCTTGATTGTGGCGATGGTTATATGTGGTTATCCTGCAATAAAATTGACTCAAGCTACGCATATGCACACACAGATTTTCTAAACAGTTTTAACTTTGTTTGCCGATGACTTTCTCTTGAGGTTAACAAGGACACAAGCATTACTTCCTTCTCCAAGAAATGAAGTGAAAAGTAAGTTAGTCCGGAGTCACAAATTTTTGGGCAGAATGCCATGCCGCCTGTATGCTGTGATACTCAGAGCAAGGGATTTTGATCTGTTTAGTTGGCAGAACCTTAGAGGCTCAGTCCACGGGTGGGAAAACACCAGGAATGTTATGTACTATTTGGTATTGTGTGTACACATATGCTTTTGTGTTTGTTTTTGACCAGGGGATTCTATAGCTTCTGTTAAATGAAATGGATCTTTTACTAATAATGTCTCCTATTGCCTAATGACCTATTCTGTGTTTAATAACGAATAATTCTGTGATGAGCTAGCAACTTACTCCTAGTGGACATTAAAATTAAAATGCATTTTGAGATCATCATTGTTACCGGTTAGTACTCATTCTCTGGCTCATTAATCAAGTCAATTTTCTATGTAGTAGCACAAGGTTGTTTATTACTGATATAAAGCCCTAAATTCCAGTAGTCCTTACATTTCACATGCCATAAATAGGCATTTTTTTTTTTTTTTGAGAGTCTCACTCTGTTGCCCTGGGTAGAGTGCTTGGTGTGGCAGCTCACAGCAACCTCAAACTGATGGGCTTGAACAATCCTCTTGCCTCAGCCTACCAAGTAGCTGGGACTACAGGCTCCCAGTAAAGACAGGGGTAGAGAGTTAGTAGAGATGGGATCTGGGTCTTGCTCAGGCTGGTCTCAAACTCCTGAGCTCAAGCAATCCACCTGCCTTGACTTCCCAGAGTGTTAGGTTTGCAGACATGAACCACCAGTCCTAACCCAAATCTAAGGATTTAAATATTCATGTCTGGGAAGGGGGTTTCTGTCAAGTTCAAGTCTTGAAAATTATTCAAGCCCTAGTACTAGTGGATACATGTATTAAACGAGAAGCAGAACAATTCCTCTTATAAATACAATTATTTAAAAATAAGAGTCTTCCCCAATCAGTGTACCAAATATACCCTTTTGCAAATATCAACTGTTATATTTTCATTTTGCTTGTTTCTGAATGTGTCCCTTGTCTTTAATCATATATTCATTATTAGAATATAAGTGTATATAAAACTAGTTACTAGACTGATAATATTTTTAAAATATAGTAGTGATTACTTGGTTTTTGACTATATAATCCATCCTCTAAAGAACATGTAGGAATAGTTCAGTTTATTTTAAAAGAAAAAAATACACCCAGAAACTTTTCATCTAATTTGAAAGGCAAAAATTATTTTAAAAATGTGCATGAGATCTTCAGAGCTGTCAGGATAGAAAGTGTGTGGCTTCAACACCCTATTCCCTGACCTTACTTTGCTTTGAGTTTATTTTTCTTTTCATTTTCTGGAATCCTGTGTGATGTACAATGAGTTCAAATAAAAGATAGTGCATCTTTTTTTTATTTTAAATTAATATGAGGGAACAAATTTTTAGGTTACATTGTTTTCACATCCAAGGTAAATTCAAGTTGTAGGAGAGCCCTCCACCCGGTGAGGGTGTGCTGAAAACCCTGGAATTGTGCACATTAGGGGAGAACCCACCTAATGCCTGCCCTCCTCCTGCCAATCACCCTCCCCTCCCCTTCCCCTCCCTCATTACCCTTCCCCCTTGCTAGACTGTGTCTGTGTTTTATCATTAGTATGAGTGTGCAAGTGTTTATATATTAGCTTATGTTAGTATTGAGTAGAATGGATGCTTTTTTTTACATTCTTGAGATACTTTACTAAGAAGCAAAATCCATAATGTTTTAATTGCATTCCATGGATGTGTAATTGGGGTTTAAATGAGCCCTACGTTGCTTTATAATTACCTTTACACAGAGAATGGCCTCTTTATTTATAACTGTAATAACTGAGAATTTAAGTAGCTGAAATAAATAAAACCTGTGCCAACTGCTGCTTTGCTTACCTTTTTTTTTGAGACAGAGTCTTACTTTGTCATCCTTGGTAGAATGCTGTGGCGTCATAGCTCACAGCAACCTCAAACTCTTGGGCTTAAGCGATTCTCTTGCCTCAGCCTCCCAAGTACCTGGGACTACAGTTGCTCACCACAACACCTGGCTTTTTTATTTTTTAGAGGCAAGGTCTCCCTCTGGCTCAAGCTGGTCTTAAATTCCTGAGCTCAGGCAATCCACCAACCTCGGCCTCCCAGAGTGCTAGGATTACAGGTGTGAGCCACTGCACCCAGCCTACCTATTTCTCAGAATACTACATCTGACTGATGGTATTTTGCATCACAGTGTATTTATTGTAAAATTCCTTTGCTCTTTTTCATTTCAACTCTGTGTTTAATTTGCACATTTTTGAGATATCCTGAATTATTTTATGTGTGTCCTTATGATCAACGTGGGATCTTGTCGTCTACAAAATCCACTTAGCCTCTGCTTAGATAAATCCATGTATTCCTAGACTTAGAAATGTAAAGAAATATCCCCGAGATAATCATAACAGCTCTTATTGAGCTAAAAAATGTGTTAGTTCTTCTTTGTTGGTATAGTAAGGGACTGTAATTATTAATATTCACCTGTGTCAATAAATCACCCATGTGATTATTTAGTCATTCAATAAACATTCAGCACTGTGAACTAGGTAGAGTTCTAGACTCCAGGAGTGAGCTAGAGATCAACAAACCAGGCACGGCCCTACACCCAGAGCTGGGGTGGGGGAGGAGACACAGACAACAAATGGGTGAATAAATATTAAACAAAATGATTCTGGAGAGTGCTATATGCTGCGGACTAAATCAAATAATAAACTCATAAAGCTTTATGAAGATCGTTTAGGGGAAGCTTCTCCAAAAAGGCATCACCAGTGACTGAATGATGACTAGGTAGCCATCTGAACATCAAAAGAAAATCGTGCAAGGCAGAGAAAATAGATGCATCAGCAAATAAAGATGGGCTGGGGAATTTTCAATAATGCTTTCTTTAGCACTCCTGATATCTGATTTTTCAGGGCTGAAAAATCTCTAGTACCGCTGCCTCTCACAGAATCTGAGCTAAAAAATGACAATGGACAGGCTAGAAGTTTAGGCTAAAACCAACAACACGAAATGTGACTGATACGAATGCAAAATGGTGCATGTAAATTCACAGACCCACAGTACGAAGTAGCTTGATAGCTGTTCACGTTTGAAAAATCTGGGGCTTCTAATTGGTAGCAAAATGGATGGTTCTTTACTGTTCCTAACTTGATATAACAATGTGTAGCTATTTCCCTGGGGCTGATTTCTGCCCCACTACGGCATTGTTAGAGCTTCCCCAGAGGGAACATCCTACTTGTGTGTAGAGAACTCACCATGGCTCAGCTCAGAAGGAAGAAAGGAAGGAAGGGAGGGAGGGAGGAGAAAAAGAAAGAGAAAGAGAAAATTACTTCCCAGGGCTTGTTGTAAAAAGAAAATTCTATATTGCTTCGAGACTAAGACAGTTTTTTGTTTCTTTTTTTTTTTTTT